AAAGCTTTGTCTACAGCAGAACCTACCTCAATTCCAGTAGTCACCAATGAATTCCAGCTTCACTGAACCAGAGCAAATCAGTGACCACACGGAGAAGGACAAGTAACCACCAGCACCATCTGTTACCATTTCAGCTGCTGGACAGCTAAAACTAATGCCTGCAGCAAGGTAAACAGACCCAAGCTGCAAAACCTCTTGGAAACTGCAGGTCCCATGTCACTTCTAAATCAGACATCTCCAAAATCACCCGAGTGCAGCTGCAGTTCCTGGGGGTAAGCACCTGAATGCAAACACGTGCCCAAGGAGACTACTGGAGTTAAACCACGGTCTGTAGTTCTCTCTGCCATGCTATAGGCATCTCGATTGCACCTCCCTACCAAATGGACACTCCACCCTAAATATGTTACAAAATTAGCAGGATGCTACTAAGTAGGTACAAAATGCAAAACATAGCCAGAAATGCTAGAACTAATTTCCAGGTCTTTGAGATATCTAACCACCTCTCATGTTCCAATTTTTTTGGTCAAACCTGCATGTGGTAGATAGCAATGTACAACTAACAACAGAGAAAACAGGAATTGGGTATCACGAAACAGTAGACAAAAATACATATTTTGGGAGAAAAGTAATTCTCCCTATAAAAATAACAAAATCATCATCTTTGCAGAGTTATTTGTAATATTCTGTGAGACAAAATTCAAACTTTTTCTTTAAGTTCTGACTATGACTATTCATTTACAGATCATTTTTGTTTCTAGAGAAACAAAGGAAAGAAATACTTTGATTCTTCCTTGTTTGATCCTTAACATCCATGCTGTGGTCTCCTACCCTTAAAGGAACAAGGTATCTACGAAATATCTTAGCACCAGGCTGCACTTCAAAACATGCACCTACAGTGAATATTTACAAAGAAGTAATTCATTAATACGGGGGGAGGATGACAACGACAGAAAACAACAACAGTAGGTTTTTTAATTAATTTCTGTGTACTCAAACTTGTCTTACAACCACCTAACTTCCCAATTATCATTAATTTTACAATCCACTGTAAACATAGTCTAATTCTGCAGCGGATGAATGTGTAACAAAACTCAGGTGACTCTATCCATATTTAGCACTCATTTGGCATCTCTCAAACACTCCCTTATACACCAAATCTAACCTGTTTATCCCTAACTTCCCGAACGCTCTGGCATTTAGAAGACACTGAAAGTCGCATGCTACCAGGAACATTCGCTTGCAGCTACCTTCTCCTGGAGCCCCATACCTCTCACAACCGTAATAGTAACAGTATTGCAGCACCAGACTTTAGGCACTTTATGCAGACTTGAGCAAAGATAACAGATATCTTTACAATCACAGTTCACCCCTGCACTAACAAAAGGCACAAACATTACCAAGAAGTATGAGTAAACATCAAAGTGACAAGGAAGAAAAATCCACAGCACTGCTTGATGCCATAAGGAAGATTGCTAAATATACAGGGATGCAAAGAGCACCTGGGCAATGCTCCCGTTACCTGTTGCAACTTTCATGGGCTCCACTTCACACAACTGTACAGCTTACACTGTTCTGCTAATGTGCTGCACTTTCTAAAAACAGTGGTTTTGACTAAATGCATTTCAGGGCTTAATTGCATTAAGGGATATGCTGGTTTACATAAAGGTGAGATTTTAAACAAATTTAGCTCAACAAAGTGATGTAAAATTATATAGATGTCATCTTGTCTAAGCAGGTTGATTCAGTTTAGGAAGGTTTAGATTTAAAACTGGAAGTCACTGCAATTCCAACTCAGATGCCTGGCTCAAATTTCATTAAATTCAAGAAATAACCTGCTCATGAACATGAATATCTCCTCCATATTACTACTTGATTACAACACATCTACAGTAGCAAGGTTCCTCATATGCATTTTCTCAACTATATAATAGCATTGAACAACCCAAAAGATCTGAAATATTTCAGAGTGCACAAGCACCTGTGCTTGTAAAACAACTGTTTTACTTCCCAAAACTGAAATTCAAAATATTCCTGCCTTTAAAGGAAATATCCCGATAATAAAGCTTTTCTCTTCTTCTACACCACTACCTCACTTACATCTTATCTTTTGTTTAGGAGTATTGAATGATAGCAAAACATAGGACTTTCAAAAAACAAAATCCCTTTTCTTCACAAATATTACTAAGACACACCTATATAAAAATTTGAAGATTTAGTATAAATTAAAATCTTTGAAATAGTTTAGTATCTAAGCCCTGCTCATATATTCCAGCTAGAAGCCACCAAAGCAGGCAGGAGTCAAACTGGAATTTGTTTAGAGTACAGATGGACAAACAACCGAAGGGCTGGATTCAGCCTGCAAAGCAGGCTTTTGTTAGGCCACCAGCAATGCCTGCTAGCCAGCTACTAGAAAAGCCAAGTCCAGCCCATCAGTCAGACAAAAAAACTGTGGATCCTGTTGGGAGAGGAAAGCAAGTAAACTTAAGTTTGGTAGACAGGGTGCATTACCAGGTCAGTGCCCAAATTCAGTCCACTCTCTTTCAGGATAACCCAGGAAGCAATACAGCCACCATGGAGAAGCAGGGGGTAGAAACAAGACCTGACTTAACTAATGCAGTGAAACGCCAACTCAAGTATTTCCAACTACTGTCATCCAACCTGAAGAGCTGAAGTCAAGGGCAGAGAATAAACCCCAGAGCTGGGCTGGGTTCAGAAGAGTTTATTACCTGAGTCATCACCATCCACTCCAGAATCAGGCTGGCTCCTGCAGAATCATTCAGGTAATCCTGCATCATGTACCCAGTGCTCTGGGAAGGTTTGCAGCCAGATGGTTGCAGCCAGATGTAGTGCTGCACTACAACCAACAGCACCCAAACAAGGACAGCAAGAGACAGTCTGAACAGGCTGACACTGAGACCAATTTGACAAGTTCAGTAAGGCCAAAGCTCACTCTATTCAGCCAGTTTTCCACTTCACACTCTCTCAAATTCCCAATTATAGCACCACAGCAGAAGGACATTTCAGACCAGCTGTGCACAGTGAAAGCACTGGTCAGTCGGGATATGTTAGTTCCACCTAACTAGTACCATCTTTAGTACAGCAGTAAATTGGGGGTACTGCTTCCAGATTGCAGCCGTCTCTGGCATCACTACAGCCAGGTTTGCAATCTAACATCACGAACGCTGTCAGACACAACCTAAGTACATATCCTAGGCTCCTCTTCTCCCTTAATACACCCTCACCCCGTACTCCCTGTCAAAATTCCTGTAGTTTGCTCAGATATACAGCAGATAACACAGTCTGGGTGGCCAACCACCTCTCTTGGAATAATGGTAATTCTGGCCCACAGGCTCTCAGTTGGCTGAAACCACATAAAAACTAAGACACCTTAGAGGAGCAACATCATCTTTGAGCAGCTGGGGATCTCTTCAACATCTGAGTTTTTCACAACACCACAACTACCAGTTTTATGCTTTGCTTGGGCTAACTCAGTCTCTCACGTCCCCAGATAACAAAAGGTTGATTTCTTTGCTTTGCTACTGATTGCAACTATCGCCCTCAGTACCACTCTGACTCTACATGGCTCTCAAGCTTAAGAAATCACCTGACTCGGGTTGCAATTTTTGACACTATAACACCATCAAGCTGCATTTTTCCTAGTTTAAAACGAAAACGTTTCTAATACAGAATAAAACCCCACACATAGGCCTGTTATGGCCACAGAAATATACTTAAGGGTGCAGTCTGTGATGACTGGGCCGTTTCTAATGATATGCAGATACCCTTATAATTCTGAGGAAAAGTGCAACAAATAATGGCTGCCCCATGCAAGACAAGTTCCATCAGTAAACACCTTCCTACTTTTATTAATGCTGTGTAGCATCATGCAAAAAGCAGCTATTCTACAGGCTTGCCAGTGCTCAACTTTAAAACATCTGCAGTCAAGAATTTCAAAACTATACTGTGTGTGCAGACTGTTACAGAAAAATGGAACATAAAATATAAGGTTTCT